TATATATAAAATCATGGTGGTGCATGCCTGTAGTCCCAGCACTCAGGAGCCTGAGGCAGGAGGATCCATGAGTTTGAGGCTGGCCTGGGCTATACAGTGCATTTAAGGCCAGCCTGAACTACATAGTGAGATCCTGGATATAGTTCAGTAGCATGGCACCTGCCTGCCAAGCATAAAGTCCTGAGTTCGACTCCTGGTTCAAAAACAAGAAAAGAAAGTACCAGTGCTTAATGCTTTTTTCTCACACTGACTGATAGTATGGGCTCTTCGTTGTTTTCTGATATTGGAGATCTGATCCAGGGAGCATTCATTCTATTACTGAGCTATTTATTTATTTATTTAGAAACAAGTATCTGTCCAAGTTTCCCAGGCTGGCCTTGAATCTGTGACCCATCTGCCATGGCCTCCCATGTAGCTAGATTACAGACATGAGCCACTGCACTTGGCTAGTATGATACTGATTTCTTGTTAATCAAAATATTTCATTTCATTCCTTTCTGTAGAACTCAAAGAGAGCCAAAGGAGCAAGCAAACATGCAGCTTTCTTGCAACTTAGAACTAGTTTAAATTTCTTTTTACTTTTTTTAGAAGTTTAAGCCACACATGGTGGTGCACACCTGTAATCCCAGCGCTCAGGAGACTGAGGCAGGAGGATCATCTTGAGTTCAAGGCCAGCCTGGGCTACAAAGTGAGCTCAAGGCCAGCCTGAACTACATAATGAGACTCTGTCTCAAAAAACAAAACAAATAAATTTTAAAAAAGAAGGTATATCAAGGCATCTAGAAGGCACCCCTCTTTCCAGGCCTTTTGCTAGTCTTCATGTACTTGCCAAAAAAATATAATACATGTCTATTCTAGGCATTCCTACCTAATTTTGTAGCTGGATTTGAAGAGTGAGATAATTCTTGAAGAAGAAAGCTCAAGATAATAGTTAGTCTGTCTTGTGTACGGATGCTATAGGCCATGCTAGATTTCAAAGTCTCATAGATATACTTCAATACTTGAGAAATACTTTCCCATCTTAGAAATACTGCTATAATGCTTTAATTTTTTTTTATTTTTATTTTTTTGGTGATACTGAGGATTTGCACCCAGAGTCTTCTGACTGCTAGGCAAGCTGTCCACCAGTGATCATCATCCCCAGCCCTTCTTTAAATTTTCATTTTGAGACAGGCTCCTACTAAGTCACTAAATTGCCCAGGCGGGGCTTGAACTTGTGATCCTCCTGCCTTAGCCTCCCATAGTGCTAATATATAGGCATGTGACATCATGCTCAGCTTTTTAGTTTTGTTTTGAGATGGTCTCACAAAGTTGCCTAGACTTACCTCCAAGTCATGATCCTCTTGCCCCACCCTCTCCTGTAACTGGCTTCATAGCCGTGTGCCACCATGTCCTTCAGCTTTTATAAAACTATTTAGAATAAGCTTTGATTTTTGATTCAGAGATGCCCTATTCTTTTCAGTGTGCAATGTCCATGACTTCACTTGCTTTTCTTGGATTCCTTATTTTGTTAGTCCCCTCACTATTAACATTTCCAATTCTAATTTTGCACCTTTGGTTTAAGGTCCATAATTGCTTTCCAAAAGTTGTC